CTTTTTCACTCTTTTTCTCTTCATTACAAAAAAAATTTCAGTTAATTTGTGAATAATATTTATCGTCTGTTACGTCGAAAAAAGTCAGTGATAAAAAAAATCCACTGTTTCACCTGTAATTCCTGGCAAAACTTTTAGCCAGTTGCATTTTTCGGTTATCAGAACAAATTAAGTTTGCAATTTGCGAAGTTATTCCATAGCCAAAATCTGATGATCAATGGTCACAGGAGTTCTTTATTGGAGGCAATAAGTTGTAAACTGAATGAGAATGCAATGAAGTGTACAAATTTATTTACATAAATATGACTTTTTTTAAAGAGAGCTTCCGTCGATAGGTGTTTCATTTCCTAAGTAAATGCTAATTTTCCATTTCTTATATGTTTTTGCACAAATCTGTAAGCATTTCAGCGTGTTCACATTTCTGCTTACAAACACATATGAGCAGAAATGTGGAAGCTTCAACTATAGAGCTGCGAAACAAAAAGTTAAAAATATTTAAACGGTGGCTCTACAATTGCTTGTAATAAGACGAAATCAAAATACCCCTACATCTGTTTCTCATCCTCTCTCCAATCCAGTCTAAAATCCGTAGCTTCAAGTTCACATTAGTGCTGTGAATGTAGAAGGCTGTAAACTCAGAATTTTAGGGTCCTAGCTTGCTGAGGAATTTTGTATCGACTACAAAACGCCTGAACTACCTGGAGCAACTGTTAATTCACAGCTGAATGCGCATTTACGCAGTCGGCAATTTCTCCATCAATTGTCATCTTGTACTTGCATCTACTCCATCCCGAACATTGAAGCAGTGTGTAATCGACAGTCTTCTTATTGCTTTTCTGACACATCGTGGGTACCATTCAGCTATTCGATTCCGCCACCTGTTACCTGTCATTCTTACTACATGACTAGCTCAGTTCCTCTTTTTGGCATACACATCACCTTTACTATGCCTTCAGCGTCTGAATATGACCGCAGTTCGTCACTGGTTGTATGTTGCAATCTACTGACATCAAACACCCGTCTCTTCAGTGATGTCAGTGTTAGCCTTCGCGAGAATGATATTCCAATGCGAGAGTGATATTCCAAATTTCGCATCCGTAAAGCGCTACCGATAGGATAATGGCATTGAAAAGTTCCGCATTTATACAAGATGCTG